CTACAGGCGTTCCTTGGACTTATCAATTTTTATAACGTCTTTTTACCCAATAAAGCAACGGTAGCTGAACCATTACATAGACTCTTAGACAAAAAAGCAACGTGGGTTTGGGGACAACGTGAACAATACGCTTTCCAACAAGTAAAGAAATTGCTAACTTCTGATTCTGTACTTATGCAGTACAACGAGACTCTCCCGCTAACTATTACTTGTGACGCCTCACCTTTTGGGGTTGGAGCAATCCTGGCCCACGTATTACCGAACGGAGCGGAAGCTCCCATCGCGTTTTTTTCGCGAACTTTAGCTAAAGCTGAAAGAAATTATAGTCAGCTGGACAAAGAAGCTTTAGCTATTGTGGCTGCAGTTAAAAGATTTCATGAATATGTGTATGGGCGTGCGTTTACAATAATTACTGATCATAAACCACTACTGGGGATTATTGCGGGTAATAAACCAACCCCGTATATATTGTCCCCCAGAATGACCCGCTGGTCTGAATTCTTGGTGGCGTACAACTACACCTTGCAACACCGCCCGGGGAAATCAATTCTCCACGCTGATGCATTGAGCAGAACGCCGCTCCCAGAATCGGTTGAAGATCCAGCCCCAACCATCACAACGCTGCAAATTGAGGCTCTACACGTACCACCACTGACAGCGAGAGACATTGCCCTCGAAACAAAACGTGATCCGGTTCTGCAACACATCCTACGCTGGGTTGAACGTGGTTGGCCAACAGAACAATTATCACCTGAATGGGTGCCCTTCAAAGCCCGCCAAACCGAACTGTTTTCCCAAAAGGGCTGCATCTTGTGGGGCGATAGAGTCGTAATCCCGGGAAAACTGCAACAAACTGTTTTGGCGGTATTGCACAACGGACATCCGGGCATCATGCGGATGAAAGCACTCGCACGGAGCTACGCCTGGTGGCCGGGAATCGACAAAAGAATCGAGGCCTGGGTCGCTACTTGTCAACGTTGCCAGGACGTCAGCAACGCCCCACCTAAAGCAAGCCCAACCGAATGGGAAACTCCGAGGGGACCATGGTCCCGTATTCATATTGACTTTGCGGGGCCTACAAAAGGACACACTTTCCTTATTACTGTCGACGCCTATTCAAATTGGCTCGAGATCCATCGAATGAACACAACTACAACGGATTCAGTTATCAACAAATTAAACAGGCTATTTGCCACACATGGTTTTCCGGACGTTTTGGTCTCGGATAACGGCCCACAGTTCACAGCATTACCATTTGAACAATATCTTGCTGACCGGGGCATCCGCCATGCGCTAACCTCGCCCGCGCACCCTGCGGCGAACGGACGTGCAGAGCGCATGGTACAGTTTGTAAAAAAGACCCTCCACAAAATGGAATTCGGAAACATCGATGAAAAAATCAATCGAATTTTATTGTTGCAGCACATCACGCCCCACAGCGTTACCAACAAAACGCCTGCCGAACTTCTCATGGGGCGGAAACTACGATCGCACCTTGACCGGCTCCACCCCGCATACGCACCCGAAAAGCCTTTCGGATCCAGCAGCAAATGCCGGGAATTTAAGGTAGGCGATTTAATCTTTGCCAAAAACTTCTCCGGCGACCCTTTATGGATACCCGCAACCGTCACCCACCTCACAGGGCCTAGATCTTACCGCCTGCTAACAGACGATGGGAGGGTGTGGAAACGCCACATAGACCAACTCCGTTCGAGATTACCACCCAGCGCCCATGGCTCCCCGGGTTCACCAACTGAGGGGGGAGGAAATATCGAGGAAATTGACTTCGATATGACAGATAGCAGACCAACGGAAACCCTACGGCCCAGCGAAGTACCAGGAATCGAAGCAGGGAGAGAGTTGACTTTCCCATGGGACGTAAACACGGGGGAAACCGAACTGCGAAACCCCGAAGAAACACTGATTGGTGGGGACAACCAAAACGAAAGCAACACGGAAATTCCGTGCAGCGAAACAGGGCTAAACAGAGATCATCCAAACGCTCCACCGGAACCGAACTTTAGGCCTAACCCGGTGGAACCACGGAAATCATCCAGACAGACCAAACGGCCTGTCTATTTTGAGGATTTTGTTACAGCTCCCCTCAAACGGAACCCAAGGGGGAGGGGTGTTGTGAATCAATAAAAAGTAACTAGCCTAAATGCAAAGCAGGGTTTGAAAGCCTGCACACCTGATTGGTCCTTAAACAATGAATAAGGATTGGTCCATAACAAGTCCCTGATTGGTCAATATTAGGACACTTCTTATTGGGTATTAGTTGAACTTGTTGCACATATTATTGGTTAATAAGGTAGCAGCCAACCCTATGAAAGGGTTACTGCTGCCCATAGCCTTGCTCTGTTCTGTTCTATTTACTGTTATTAAAGAGTTGAAGTCACTGGTCAGATGTCTGGTCTCCATTATTCTCCAAACATAACAATAATAAAAGTATTTAAATGATGTTTATGGATTTCAAATGCTTAATCCTGATTTTTTACTTACAAAGCACTCAGGCTAAGCAATGTTATTAGAACAATTGAAGTAGTATACAATTGCTATTGGAGTTCCAATAAAACTTGAACTTTCTCCTGAGTCTTTTCTTTATTGACTATATATTCTAGAGACGTTTAATTCTTTTAATTCTACCCTAGATTCCATTGCATGCCCTTATCAAACTTTGTGGTGGCATAAACGTTAACATCAGAGGAAATCCCCCAAAGAAAAGTTAACAAGAGAAATATGAAAAGAAAGCACACTGTTGAACTATATACAAACAGTATTTTCATTTTTAAAAGGGCTTTTGTTGAGGAAATGTAATTTTAAAAAGGCTGTGTATGCCAAAAAATAAAAGCATTAAGAAAAATGGAGTTGACGCCATGGAAAAATAGCTACAGAAATTTATGGTCTGCAAAAAGACTTACTGTAAAATGGTGCAACTGTAAAAAATGATGATCCTTTCTGTGGATTAAGAAACCCACTCACCACCCACTAAACAGGCTTGACTAACCAGAATTACCACTCTACTGAGGCTGACAGTAAAGTTTACCAGACTTGTATTGATCATCATGTGTGTAGTAATATGTTCTACTGCCATTCTCTTGCAAAGAATTTTTTTCTGGAACAAAAAGAAATAACCACATATTTTTGTCTCTTTCTACATTTCTCTGTTCTTCTTTCTACTTCGCACTGAACAAGTTGCATCCAAACTCGGCAGAGTTTATTTGTATCTCTCCCCAGAATGCTGAAGAACTTGCTCATTAGTAAATCCTTTGACAGAAGAAAGTTACACCTTGCTGTTGTGTTGATTAGTTTTTACAAGGAAACTTTCCAGAGTATCTTGGTGTCACTCATAAGACGATAAATGCTATTTTTGCACTATAGAAGTGGAATTTAGTGCTTGTGAATTACCACTTAAAATTGGGCTGTTTATCCATGAATAGACAGACCTTATGATTATACTTTTTCTGCTAAAAATAAATCAGTAGAATTTCTGATTGTATTATATAATTACAAATTCACTGTAACTTCTGATATTTATCATTTCTGAAACATGAAAAAAATGAAGAGACAAAACTTGGATTTGCAAAGACAAAACCTGGAGTTAGGGTCTTCATTAGGGAGCTACCTAAAATATATTGAAGAACAGCAAGATCCAAAAATTTGGGTTTCCACAATTTTTTGTTCAGTGACCAGGATAAAAAATGGGTCTATCACACATTTCCTGGAACTAATTATATTTTTATGTTTTTTCAGTGTCTTTTGGGGGGAAATTGGCATTTTTGTTTCTTTTTGTTTTAATAATGGCCACTTACACAATGTATTAACCCAATCCTTGATCAGCTCTGTCATCATCATCTCTTCAGCTGTGCAGAGGTGCTGTTTAGCCCAGATGAAGCCAGCAGGAATAATATTGACACGGTTCTGTCAGTTTCTCTTGCTTTTCACCCATGCACCAGCCTCTTCCAAACTGCCGGGCTGGCTGTTTTTTTAATTTCTTTCTTTTTCTTTCCCTTATTGTAGTGTGCGGGAATGATTTTTATTGCTGCAGGACATGCTGAGGAGGGGGCATAGATTGATGATCTTTGTTTCTCAGCCTCCTTGAATCAGCAGATGAATAAATAGTGCTGGAAAGGAGAAATGGTAGCAGTCTGAAAATGCCCTGTGTGGAATTTATTTGTGGAAATCACAATCATTTTTATGAGTTTCCTGCTTCAAAGTTGTAGGAAATAGCTTTGTTGACTTTTGGTAATCAATTCCAGCAGCCATAAAAAAGATGTGGGAGGGGTATGAGTTGGCTGACTGAAATGACACCAGCTATTCTGGGCACATACACCATAGATGTGGGTGCAAACATAACTTAGGTGATGTGGGCATACCCTTGGGGGACAATGTTAGAGATACATGAATCCTATGAGGAGATGAGTGATTAGGTATTATTGACTTAATGAACAACTTGAAAAAAACAAGTCTGAGGAAATATTTTGATCAGCATATAGCTCAAGTGTAAAATTGGGAGATTTCTCCATGAAAAATTAGCATGAGGGGAAAGCAACCTGAGATGTTTTGCACTATAAATCCCTGCCTATGCGGTAACTGGCATCAGTGGAAATTATAGTCTAAAAAAAAAACTTGAAGAAAACCCGGGTGTCTCCTTCTCTACTTTAGCAACACTTTTTCTAGATGATTGCAAGAAGTAACATTAACAGTGAGAGTCCGTCTGATCAATACAACTTTGAAATGGTTGTGCTGTACTTAATGCCTGAAAGTGGAGAACGATAATTGCACTGTGAAAGTTTCACTTTTCGCATTTAAAAAAAGCTACGGGCTACAGTTGTGTGTGTGTGTGAATATCAATTTAAAAATCTGAAGGTAACACAGGCATATGTGTCCATTGCTTTTCCTTCTACCATCTTCGTCTTGAAACCCTCTTTGAAACATTACTTTCCTCCTAGGAAAAAAAATAAAAATCCAACATTCTTTCTTTTTCTCTACTGTTTCAGGATTATACTCGGGTGGTGAGTCCTATCATTGATGTCATCAGCTTGGACAATTTTGCCTACCTAGCAGCATCAGCAGATTTGAGAGGAGGTAGGTAAGAAGACAGTTGATTCTGAAATATGATGTTTCTGGGTCTTTATCACTGAGGATCTGCCCCGTGACAGATTCCTTTTGTCTCCTGAGGCACTTCCAGCTAAGTAATCCAAAGACATTGTGCAAATATTCTGCTGTATGCTTGTGAACTGATTTTCTGTGGGACAAGAAGAGACAGGCAATCGGTTGGATAAATGTATGAGAGGTATAAATGGAAGGTAGCATAATCTGGTCCTTATACAATTCTCTGAACAAGACAGGGTGAGGATTCAATAAAAGCCTCCTTGGAAGCACCACTGATATTAAATGGTATTAAACTTATGCTTTTCCCGGCTGTTAAAATTAACCTAGCTTATATGTTTGTAGGATTCATAACAGCTGTAACTTTCAACAGGCTGTAGAGCAGGGCTGTCAAACTCACAGCCCGTGGCCCAGATGCATCACATGCTGGCCACGCCCACACCTGGTTTAGCAAAGGGGGAAAAAGTCCCAATATGTCACATGATGATGCCGTGACAACATGAGTTTGACACCCCTGCTATAGACGATCACAGTTTGCATAGCTTCCTAATCAGCCACTGCTGCATCTGTGTTTTCTACTGCTGCTGCTCTTCTCCTATTCACTTCTTTTCCATATCATAAGAACAGTGGTGGGATTCAATTTTTTTTTTACTACAGGTTCTGTGGGCGTGGCTTAGTGGGCGTGACTCAGGGGTGGGATTCAATTGGTGTAACAACCGGTTTGTATTCGGTGAACTGGGCCGAACCAGTAGAATACCACCACTGCATAAGAACAGTAATATAAGAAAAAGAACATTTCAATGGGAACACATGACAAAGGCCATTACATCAAAAAGAAGTTGAGTGCTAATTTCTTTCATAAGAAAACATGATAAATCAAGCATTTTATTCCAATAACATTACTCTCGTAACATTTAAAATTCATTACAAATTAAACATTATTAATCATTAAAATGCAATGTCATTTGGTCAATAATAAATAAACCAGAGTCAAATGTGCTAAAAATTAAATGTATTTATTGATAACATTTAGAGCAGAGTATTAATAATGACTGGTTCCTCAAAAGTCCAAGCTGCATAAAAGGACAGCGACACATAAATGATTTCCAAGATGTCGCTGCCTCTTTGAGGCACCTCTGGAAGCTATCTAAAGCAACAGAATTGGGTGAGATTGCTCATTCTCTTTACACACATGCTAGATCATGGGTGTCAAACTTGTGGCATCCTGTTGCTGTAATGTGATGTTTCGTAACATTTTTCCCATTTGCGGAGCTGGGGTGGGCATAACCTGCATGTGCTGCATCTGGCCCACAGGCTGCCAGTTTGACAACCCTATAGATGTTCCTGCTAGTTTTCCAGATAAGATATTATTCCTCCATACGTTGCACAACCATTCACATTTCTTTCAATACTTTTAATAGTCTCTTGATAGGTAAAACTGTATTTGTGCCTGTATTCCTTACTATTTTCCTCCTCCTCCTCCTTCCCCCCTCCTCTTCCCTCTTGTCATGTTATGAATACTGTCTTTTTGTCAAAGAGATGCTTGATCTTTCTCAAAGGATGAGCAAATTCTTAGGCAAGCAAGATCCTTGCTGTTGGATGGACAATGTCCATGAATACAGCCTGATTTCAGCTATATTTCAGCTATATACATAAGTCAGTGAGGGTAAGTAGTTCATGTGTTATAAGAATACCAAAAAGGGTTCAAAAAGGGTGAAAGCAGCTTTCACTCTGGAAATTAGATTTTGCTCACAAGAGATAGAGTTTTACATAGGGCTAAATTAGCCTCACCTTTGGTGTATCATGGTAGTCAAGGAAGAAAACAAAATATTGACAGAAACTATGCCAGAAAACTGCCTTCTATCTATGCGTCATGTGAGCCAGATTTCACACTGCCAGGATAAAGCACTTCTGCAGATTAGCCTCAGATGCAGTGGTCAGTTCCATTGCTGACCATGCTGGACTGCAAGAAATCTAAGCACTCAGTCTTTTTCCTAAAAGAATTGCTATGCCTCAAGCACCTTTTTTAATTTTTGAAATCTCCCTCACTGTTCTTTATTTCCTTTTGCAGAGGCACCTCTGCCTTTCACTTTTGCCATTCTCACCTGCATGCATTTTTTTGCCAGCTACAGCCTTCCCAATACTCAATTTGCAACACTTTGTAAGTCAGATGGCATTTTTATGTGGTGCACATGGGGAAAAGCCAATTACAATAAACAGAGACACTTTGTTCCCGGAAATACATGTCATCCCATTGAGAGTACTGATTAATGTCTCATAACTTTGGCAGCCAATGAGGCATAGGACAACCTGATAGAAAGCTAATGATTGCCTTTCTTTCTGGGAATCAATATAGGAAGTTTGGAATGTTACCCAGCACCGATAAATACCAGTGAGTATACCTACTGTGATTCTTTAAAGCTAGGTTGATCATTTGTATAGGACTATCCTATAGAAGGCCTTTTCTGCTCTGGAATCATATGTGTAGAAACAAAAATGCTTAATTGTCATGCTATGCTAGTTAACCTTTAAGTTTGGATACAAGGTTCTATGTGTTTTTATGTTCTACATTTTAGGATTTGACTGGAGTCTTCATTTTAAATGGGAACAGATTCCCATTGAGCAAAAGTTGTCACGGACAGACCCTACCCAATCTATTAGGTAAATTCCTTCATGCAAAATCCTCTTGGAATCCCATTTCAGATGTAATCTTTCATCTTTTATTTAATTAAGAAGTGGTCTCACTGGTTGATGTAACCATGAGGAACATTCAGAAGTTATGTTTACATCATTTATGAGATACAATAAGTCTCTTTTGCTCCTGAAAGATGTTAACATTCTTGAGATTCTGTCTGGTGGCCCCACTGCACTGCTACAATAACAGCACAATATTGAGTATTGTATAATCATGTATGGTTTTTATAGATTGCACTTGTTTAATATGGGAAATTTTACTGTGCCTGTTTGAAAAATATGTGCATTTAATTGATCTTTCCCCAGGCTGTATATAAGCTACAAATTGGAATAGAATCTACCTTCTACTTCCAGCACAGGAGTTTTTCCTTAAGATTTAGACAAATTCATCAATACAGGGCTTTTTGTGTTGACTTGCACAGTCACTGGCTTGTGCACCATTTCTATTTAAAGCATAGTGGAAATTGTAGATAAGGACCATGAAATCTAGCTAAGCTTAGGGTTTCTTTGAACAGTAAGAATATGTTGCAAGTATATTCAAATAGCAATAACACCTAGTCCTACATTTATGTAAACTGTGTTTCAAATAGATTTATATATGGCAGGATGAGAGTTCTAATTTGAGGAAATGTACCAGACAAGTATAGCGCTCTCAGTCTCTACAGCCCAAATACAAAGAAACTTTTAGTCAATTCTGTATTTTGCTGGTCAATTTTGCAAATATGGACCAGTCTGACCTAGTGTTCTGGTCAGTGAAGAGGAGTGAGATTGATTTGTTGTTCCCTCCTTCTCACAGAATTCACTAGCAAGCAAAGGAAGAAGTATTTCTTTACGTCCCCAATACACATGTGGAAAATTGGGAACCATCCTTCAGTTCATTTTCACTTGACTTGTGAATGACTTTAACAGGCCAGGAACAAGTTGTGAGGCTGCATGATTTTCTCAATTTTCATCCCCTTTGATGGAGACTGTTCTGTTTCCGTTAGCTACAGGGGCCTATAAATGAGCCACACTGAATACTAACGATCATCTCCACATAATTAAAGTGATTTTAAAAATTCCAAACTTTCCCCAAAAATCTCATTAAAGAAAAACTAAGTGATCACTATATATATTTAAAACCAGAAGTTGGGGGGATTTACAAAATGAAAATTTGTAGTATTGTGATCCAAACCCTGCACTTTTTGTTCATTCATTCACATTTCATGCACATACACAATGAGTGGTGTTAGGATCACAACACTGTGCTCACCATCTTACAGTTTTTGACACCTCCTTGCAGGTTATTTAAGTACAATGTAGACATTTTTGTAAAACGATCATGAAAATATTACAGACCTACAGATTTTTCATGATACATAATCATAGGAAGGTTATTACTTTCCAATTATTTAGTTTATTTTTCTAAAGTATTTTATATAGAATATGTTGCTTAAAAATGTAGAACAGTTCTATTTTTCACTCTAGCATTTTTGTTTATAATTTTTTGCACTTCCCCATTTCACTAGAACACCTGTCATAGCAGGAGGAATCTTTGTGATCAATAAGTCTTGGTTTAACCATCTTGGAAAATATGACGCACAGATGGATATCTGGGGAGGAGAGAACTTCGGTAAGTTGCTACTTTCATTTGACTTTATGTAGCCTCCTCTTGTCAATTTTTCACAAATCAATTCTGAAATCCTGGACACATAATATAATATTTTCTCCTGACTGGAAGGACTGAAAACCCAGACTTTATTCAGGATCTACTTGCATAGAGATAGAATCTCTTTCTTGTCACCAGGCAGTCCTGCCTTCTCAGCAGATCTTTGGCTAAGTCAACATTTCCTACAGATTCTTAAATGACACTCTGGCAATACCTGCATTATTTGTTATCCTAGATATCTCCGGTGGATTTATTCACTGATAGGGTCTAGAAGAAAATACTAGTAAATAAATATAAATTAAGTGTTACATTAAATATTTAACTTACTAAGTTTGTATTTTGTCCTATTAGTGTTAGATAAAACTAAAAACATGAAAGAAAGAAATGCACCATGACTGAAAGATATCTAAGGATTTTGCAACTCTAACCTTAATATTTTGAACTGGGAAAATATGGACCTGGGTACAAGTCTAGCTTAGATGTAATGAAATCTAGTTAAAACCATTCAAATACCACTACAATAAAAGATGATAGAACAGCACAAACAGATAAAAAGTTCCAAGATAAATTCATTAAAACCAGATTATGAAATAAGCTTTGTTGAAATGAAAGCACTTACTTTATGACAAAAACTAGCCACATTCCTCAGCAACTGCCTACAAAGAAGGTGGGAGATATTATGATCACCAACTGTATATCTGAAGATGAGATCTACAAAACACAAGAATGCGCAATAAAAGGGGGAATTTAATAGAGAGTTGGGAAATCTGTTCCTTCCAGTTGTTACATTTCCACTCTTCTGTCGCCTTCAGTTTCTGATTTTGTTTTGCTGCAGCTTTTCTGATGTTTTTTTGTACCCCCAAATCAGTAAACAATGGTGAGCTTCCATGTTTATTAAACATAAGACCTTTGCAAGGTCACTGTTTTTCTGAGATTCAAATGAGTTTTTACCGTCAAAGCCTTGGTAGTCCTCTGATCCTTTTAATAATAATAATAAAAAAGAGCTTCATTTATTCTGGGGCAGTAAAATCTCTGAAAGCAAAGGGCAAGGGGATAGGGAGGCTTCAGTTTAAATAAACAGGATGAGGCATTCTGTGTCTCAGAATCTGGATTGCCAAATGGTGAATTCTTAGGAGAGTTTAGGATCCTACAGTAAGAGCATGCCAAAAGATTTCAGCTTCAGCCTGTAAGAGATGAAAAGCACAGGGACTTTCGGATGCTATGAAAAGAGATGTGTTCTTCCACAGATTTAGGAGATTATGCTTTAGATCAGGAGTCTCCAACCTTGGCCCCTTTAAGCCTGTAGGACTTCAACATTCCCAAGCCAGCTTTAAATCCTCCAGGCTTAAAGGGGCCAAGGTTGGAGACCCCTGCTTTAGATGATGCCCAGACTCTGTCATTCCTATAATACTGGCCAGATACTAGGAGTCTATAAAGATTTTAAAGAGCATGAAATTTGATTACTGCAAACACACCCCTAAGCACTGATTAGAGTCGATTACACGTGTCTCTAGAATCCTGACAATTTTTATTCAGGTTTTCAGTCTCAGAGATAACATACAGCTGAAATGGTTTGCTTGGGACTGCATAGGTCTTTGTAACATTTTGTCTTCATTTAATTTTGTCAGTGCCATTAAGACCAGGGCTGGGATTCTACCAGTTCGCACCTATTCGCTAGAACCGGTTGTTAACATTCTAAGCAGTTCGGAGAACCGGTTGTTAGAAGAAATTACTGGCCTAATCCTGTAAGGAAGGCAGGAAGGAAACATTCTGGTGTTGCTTACAGAAACTGCCTCTCCGTTAACCCTTATTACATTCTTGGCAGGCCTAGACTTCCTGTCTCAGGAACATCTCTGGGTTTTTTCCCCTTCTTTGCTGGTACTTTGCTTCATTCAAAGTTACAATGACCATTCAAAGTTACAATGGCACTGAAAAAAGTGACTTATGACCATTTTTCACACTTACAACTGTTGCAGCATCCCCACAGTCATGAGAGGCCAGGCGAGGAGATGCGTGCCTCGATGTAAGTGATATTGAGTTGGCCACATCCAGCCAATAACATGACCACCAAGCCATGACCACCCCGTCACATGACCACCAAGCCACACCCACCACCTAAGACATGCCCACAGAACCGGTTGTTAAAAAAATTGAATCCCACCCCTGATTAAGACCTCATATTTTCTGTCTCTCATTTTGTACTTGCACATGGAGCCTTCTCCACTCCACTCTAAATTATGGATTTTCTTCTTTACGTTAAGGGAATCTTCCTTTGATAGACAGCCTTTTAAAATAAAATAAAGTAACATATATTCTCTGGGATCTTTCAGCAAGATTCCCTTTTAAAAGCCTGCACCACCCCACCCCAAATTATACTGATCTGGTATGTGGAAACAAGAGAAAGGTTACAACTGAGGAGGAGCAGGATTTTCCCTCCCCTCATACAAAACTTCATTTTCAGTAAATTTCTTCTCTTTTCATAATCCAGGTGTGCCTCTACATCTAGCACTTTCATGTCCACCTGCACATTAAGTAGATGGTTATTCTTTGTTTCACCTTATATTCTCTTTCCTTGGATGTTTTCTAGAGCTTTCTTTCCGTGTCTGGATGTGTGGAGGTAGCTTGGAGATTGTCCCCTGCAGTCGAGTGGGTCACGTTTTCAGAAAACGCCATCCGTATGACTTCCCTGAGGGCAATGCATTAACCTATATCAAGTAGGAATGGCTTAATTCTTGATTCCAGTTTAGAGAACAGTAGAGTGGAGGGGCTTAGTTCTCACTGATGTATGGTGCTTGGTCAGAGATCCTTTGTGTATTTTATTTATTTGTTAGATTTTTTAAAATCCTGTCTTTATTACTTTATAAGTAATACAAGGTGGAAAATATTCATAATACTCCTTTCTCCTATTTTTCCCACAAGGGTAGGTTGGGCTGAGAGAGAGACAGAGACTGGTCCAGGGTCACCTCAATTTTTCATGAGTAAAATCACAACTCATAGCCTCCTGGTTTCTAGGCCACAAGCTTAAATACTGCAACACATTGGTGTCCCCCCCCCCTCTCTCTCTCTCTCTCTCACACACACACACACACACAAACAAATTTTTCATTTTATCAATAATTATTTTATTAGTAAAATTTTACTAATTAGACCTTACTCTGGGATATGAATATAAACTCAAAAAATGTTTGAGTTAGCTGACTAATCCTAACCAAATTAATATTGTCTTTTCTCTTTTAATAACACAAGTTTGCAAAGAGAAATTCTCTGATGGTTAGAAAATATTTGTTTTTTAAACTGTGACCCAATTATTTTTGTGGAGATTGTACTTTGGGATTTGGAGACTTGCTTAACCATTGTGTACTTGGAAGAAATACTGATCTAGTACAGAATTCTGTAATTAAATAGCAGCTCAAAAATGATGATATAGATTTGACACTGAGCTTCATTTAATGTAACAATTCCATATCCAAAATTAAGAGTTATAATGAGAGCATTCAGATGTTCGTATCTGTGCATAGATATAAGAGCTAAGGTCTAGAACAGTACAGAAATAATATCATTAATATCATGTACTGCTGTAAACTATCTGAAAAATAATGACTACTGATATTTATGGCAGCAATCATTATTAAGTGCTTTAGGTAACCACACACACATACACACATATTGCACTTTCCTATTTTCTATTAGTAAAGTCCAAAAATAAGACAGATGATAAGTCAACACAACCATTGCCCTGTCCTCATGTTGCAGTCAATTAGGCCTACTGATAAACAACCCTTCAGATGCCTCCTTAGTGTAAGATGCCTCAAAGTTTATCAAACCTGCTACATAATTGGCACTGCTTTGGCACAACCCAAAGTAGGCAAGAAAGTTAAGGGGCTATAAATGAAACACCTAGATCTTTCTTATGTGCAACAGAGCTGTGGTTATTACGATAGTAATAGATAAAGAATTCCTTAGTTGCCATTCCCACAATATGTTTGCTTTTCTCCATGTTAAGAATACTGCTGAAAAGTGCTTGGCTGTTGGAGTTAAATAATCTTTAATGATGGACTCCAACATTATGCGAGTAGAAGAATGCTTGTGCAACAGGATGCTTTATTTCTTTTAACTTTTTCTGCAGCCCATCAAAACTTGATTAGGAGTATTCCTCAGTCCCCCCCAAAAGACTTTGAGTGTACAGGAGATTGTCAGAAATGATTCTACTCTAAGTTAAAATGAATAAAAAAATAGAATACTGTATATTCATAACACTTGCTCTGGGAATCTAAGTTGTCTTCCATTGAGATGTTTAAAGGCTAAAGTTAATAGAAAATGGAATATACCTTCCTTAAATACTCACACTCTTATATTCCATTCCTTATTGTCCGTGATTTCCTCAAGTTTCAGAAGAGTTGTCCTCCACATCACTGATCAGGGAGCTGTTCTCATCTTCAGGCAAATGAGAGTACAGCTCTCCTTCAGACATCCTTGTGAAGGTCAGGGAGAATAAGGGACCAGTTGAGTGGTAAATGAAGATATAAATATGGGGGTAGAATACCTGATCCTATTATCTTTGTACCTCAGTCATCATTGTTTTTTGGAATGCTTCAGATATGTTCTTTTTAAATGTTATACACTGAGTCTATTTTGTTCATGCATTGAGGAAAGACAGCTCCTTTTTATTGGTTTCTACTTTTTGAGATTTTTCTACTCCTGCATCAAAGTTTAATGACAGTTAAACAGGATAGCAGATTCTTGAAAATGTGCTGCAACGTCATGTTGTGGCAAGATGGCCTGTGCAACAATGACCTTTAATAGGACTTATCTTGTCCTACCTGCAGAAATACCAAACGTACAGCAGAGGTATGGATGGATGAATACAAACAGTATTATTATGAAGCCAGACCTTCTGCCATTGGAAAGTCATTTGGAAGGTAAGGATGTAAACCACCTCAGTTAAATTGCTCAGAATCGTTGTAATCTTTGAATCTTTTGTTCTTTGTGAATTCAGGAAATTGATTGTCCTGAAACTCCTTGATTAAAATACAAATCAGACAATAACTGGTTGGGTATGTTTTGATTTATACTTCAAAACATGTTTTAAAATATACATTATAAAATAAAATTATCTTAAAAGTGTGTATTTTGGACACAAATAATATTTAAAATGTAAAATTTTCAATAAAGGATGTGCAAAAGAAGTTACTAAAATTAAATTATTGAACACCGCTGGAGAAGAAGAATCTGTATAGTTACTGCAAAAGCAAAAGCCTGTCTTGCTAATTTTTTACATTCTTTGAGGAGAATAATATTTTATTAAACATATGCCACTTGATTCCCAGTGGATCGGTTACAAGATATTGTATACTTGATCTTTTGAAAGTTTTTGGCAAATTCCTTATTCAAATCTCTAGGACTGAGTAGACATGGAATAAGAGGAGAAAATTATTTATGGCTTGGTGAGCAGTTAAATAATTCAAAGCAAAAATAATATTTTCACAAGGAAGATGTTATTAATAGGATTTCTATTTATTTTATTTTATTTATTTTGATTTGTCAATCCCTTACAAGATAATAGGTATAAGTATATACATAATTATGAATACACGAAATGGGTACATATAAGAAAAATAAAAGAAACAATAGGACAGGGACGGTAGGCACGTTGGTGCGCTTATGCACGCCCCCTACAGACCTCTTAGGAAAGGGGTGAGTTCAATAGTAGACAGTCTAAGGTCAAAGTTTTTGGGGTTTGGGGAAGAAACCACAGAGTCAGGTGGAGTATTCCAGACATTGACCACTCTGTTGCTGAAGTTCTATTTCCTGCAATCAAGTTTGGTGCGGTTAACCTTGAGTTTGTATCTATTGTGTGCTCTTGTGTTGTTATGGTTGAAGCTGAAGTATTCATTGACAGGTAGGACATTGCAATGTATGATTTTATATACCATACTTAGATCAGACCGAAGATGGTGTAATTCAAGGTTTTCTAGGTCTAGAATTTCAAGTCTGGTAGCATAAGGTATTCTACAACGAGTAGAGGAGTGGATAACTCTTCTTGTGAAATATTTCTGGACTTTCTCAACTGTGCTAATATCAGATACGTAATGTGGGTTCCAGACTGATGAGCTGTATTCGAGTATTGGTCTAGCAAATGTTTTGTATGCTCTAGTTAGTAGTGTGATATTATCAGAGAAAAAGCTACGTAAGATAGGTTAACAACTCTTAATGCCTTTTTGGCTATGTAGTGACAGTGGGCTCTAGCACTTAGATCATTAGAGATGAGTATTCCAAGGTCCTTTACAGAGCTTGGATCATCAACAAGATCTTGACTATTCAGCTTGTATTTTATTTTCTGATTTTTTTTGCCAATATGTAAGACAGAGCATTTATTTGTTGAGATTTGAAGTTGCCATTTGTTTGACCATTCTGATACATAGTCAAGATCTTTTTGAAAGGTAGCAGTATTATCTGTGGTATTGGACAGCTTTACATCATCAGCGAAAAGAACGCAGTTGCTCTTAATATGATCACAGAGGTCATTTATGTAGAGTATGAAGAGAGTTGGTCCTAGAGCACTGCCTTGGGGGACACCACTATTGACAGGTACAGAATTTGATATGACACTCCCAATTTTGACCATTTGTTGTCTGTTTGACAGGAATGTTTCTATCCAGTTATGCAGTTGTCCAGAGATACCATAGGATTTTATTTTTAGGAGTAGTTTGTCGTGTACCACTGAATCAAAGGCTTTACAGAAGTCTATGTAGATTGCGTCTATTGCTTTGCCCTGATCGAGTTGTGTAGTCCATATGCTTTTGCAGTGTAAGAGTTGCAGATTACAGGATAGTTTTTTCCTGAAACCAAATTGTTTATTGGAGAGTAGGTTGTTTGTCTCTAAGTGGAGGATAATGGATTGGTTAATAATTGATTCCATGACTTTACAGGTGACGCAGCATAAGGAGATTGGTCTGTAATTTTCAACTAGGCTGGGGTCTCCCTTTTTGAAGATGGGGATGACTGTGGCTTGTGACCATAGATTAGGCAAGGAGCTGGTCCTAAAAGATTTTTCAAAGATTATGCTTAGAGGTCCGGCTATGGCAGTGGATAGCTTTTTTAAGAAGTAGGCACATATTCCATCCGATCCAATAGATAGAGATGGTTTTAGATTGCGTAGTGCTTTTTCAACATTGTCTTCTGTAAAATCAATATGTATTAGATCATTGTAGTTGTCTGTGCTTCGGCTAGGAAATACTGGGCATGATCCATTGCTGTTTACAAATACTGAGCCGAAGAATGTGTTAAAGATGTTGGCTTTAATGGTGTTGTCGTTGCAGTCTTTACCATTAGGTCCTATTAGGGGTGGGATGGACCTTGAGTCTTTTAGTTTGTTGTATACAAAATTGTAAAAAGCGCAGGTGGAATTGGTGCATAGAAGGTTTTCCTCTTGTTTAATGTGATAATTGGTGCATTCAGTCTTTATCTGGTGGCATAAATTTTTGTATCGGCTTTTGAAATTGGCAACGTGACCAGATTTGTTTTTCCGCCAGAGTGATCTCTTTTTGGATTGAAGTTTCCTTATTGTTATGGGTAATCTGTTTTTGTTTTGTTTTGGGAGTTGTTGTTGGTACATATAGTTTGATGACTCTTTTGACTTCAAGTAAAAATATGTTGTAAGTATACTTCAACAGTATTGCATCCAGTGAATAGAGATTGCCAATCAAGGGATGAGAGATCGTTGTCTATAAGATCATAGTTGCCTTTTTTGAAGTTATAATTGGGGATTATGTCATTGTGATGATTTTTGTGTGGGCGTATGTTGAGACAAAAATCAATCATATTGTGGTCACTGCTGGAAAAGGGTTCTTTAGTTTATATTCCATAAATTAAATTCAAACTATTGCAGAAGATGAGATCGAGGCAGTTTAGTCTAGTGTTGTTGGTTACTAGTTGTTCCAGTCCCAGATTTGTAACAGCATTGTAGAAAGTTGCGTGTATGGGTTCAGTTGTACATTCATTTAGGGTCCAGTCAATATGAGGTAGATTGAAGTCACCAAGAAAGATAAAAGCGTGTGGACAGGATGCTGCCCATGTTAGTAGTATATTTAGCTTGTTTACATTTTCGATGTCATAATCAGGTGCTCTGTAACATAGTAAGAATTGAAATGTGATATTTAAGGATAGTTCACAGATGATGGTCTCAGGAAGAGCAAGCTCCTGGGTAACTTGGATGTTTTTTAGATGTAAGGTCTTTTTATAGAAGATAGCAACACCACCTCCTCTACGAATTTTACGATCTGATCGGTAAACATGATAGTCTCTTACTGTGGTAATGGAGTCAGGGAGAGATGCATTGAGCCATGTTTCACAGACAAATATGATGTCGAATTTAGCCATATTTAGTAAGAGGAAAAATTCAGGTATTTTATGTTTCTTGCATTGAGTAGCTTGCATTTAAGGCCAGCAGTAGTTGGAATTAGGGGCGTATTAGGGGCGTGCGTGCCTAGTCTTGGGTGATGGTGGATTGGTTGAGGTAGGGTTGTGGTTGAAGGTTAAAGCTGAGTTGCGGGTTGTGTGACTTACTTTTGATACAGTCAGCATGGTAGTCAATGTACAGGTCCTTTTCTCCATTGTCTAGACATTTTTTGAGTTCAGTGCAGAGTACACGGGAGCGGGCACGTTCTGTTGCTATTTTATTTCATTATTGCTTTTTAAACATATTTTACCTTGAAATAGGTAAGTGGCCACCCTTACCAATGATTTCAAATTATTTAGAGTGGTTAAAACAAAGAGGGACAATGAAGAATTTTGAAAGGATTTCTCCAAACTAGAAATTAACTAAGAATTAAAACTATGCATGCTTGGAAAATGATTTGGAGGAGATGCTTTGGAAAATTCATGAAAACAATCCAACCTTGAAGCAGCTACATGATGTGCTGTGTTTGTGCTTCATTTCTCAAGAGTGTTTCTTTTATATTGTCTTAGTGTTGCAGTTGTTACAAGCAGTTAGCTTCAGTGATGTGTCTTACTACTAGGGAATGTTATTTATCTTTTGACATCTTACTTATAAAACTTCATTCTAAATTTCTATAGTCTTACGTTTAAAAAGCCAATCATAGGACACCAACTAGTATCCTTTCAAACAGACTTATTATTATTATTATTATTATTATTATTATTATTATTATTATTATTAATTATTATTATTATTATTATTATTATTTTAAAAAGCAAATCAGTAATGGATATATTACATCAACATTTCAAGCAATAAAGAAGTAATCACATGGATTATTAAAACAGCAAAATTGACAAATAAACCAGTATTTGAATCTCTGGTATATACAGTATTTATTAATGGAGTCAATAGTTTTTTTGAATAGGATTTTTTCTCTCCTCACTTTTACTTTAAGGGTGAACTCTGATAAAAGAAAGAAAAAAGTAAATGACAAAATCCTTGTCATTTCACATGCTACATTACTGTCACCCATGCAGTCACTTTGCGATGTGTTCTATCTTGCACACGATCTTCTACACCAGGGGTGTCAAACTCGTGGTGTCACATTATCATCACATGATGTATCATAACTTTTTCCCCCTTTGCTAAACTGGGGGTGGGATGTGGCCAGCGCATGATGCATCTGGTCCATGGGTCATGAGTTTGACACCCCTGTTCTAGACCATAAAAATATTAATGGAGAAAGAAAAATAATTATTTTTGTTGGGAAAAGGGGAAAAAAACCCAGAAAACAGTGGCTAGATGGAAAAGATTCCCCCACCTCTGCTCTAAGATTAACAAATGAGCTTTCATGGGCAACTCTATAAGCACAAGCACCATGCAAATGTGTCTTTGAATAGCTTCCACCATATTGATTCCAATGTGGTTGCACCTTAGAAGTGCTGTCTGTACTTTTAATTATTCTGCAAATGTACTTGTGTGCTGCTGTGCCACGCAATTCTCTTTTATTCATGCTTACAAAAAGATAGATATAGGTTACTTTTGCTTCTAGTATTGCAGACCGAGTGGAACGACGCAGGAAGCTGAGCTGTAAATCCTTTCAATGGTATTTGGAGAATGTCTATCCGGAACTCAAGTGAGTCATTCTTTACCTGTCAACAAAACTGCATGATATGTATTTTGCCACTGTGGTATAAGAAAGCACCGACTATTTCCTTAATGTGGCTGTTCCAGTGGGAATTTATTTTTAAAATATTTCCTCCTATTATACTCTGCCTGACCTGTGTCTTTTCTATGTTTGGTTTCTTTGAACTCTGAAAAAAAAGAGAGTTTATGTGGGGAAAACTAATTGGTAGACAGCACAGTGAGGCTGAACTCAGGTTGCAGGCAGCAAAAGAAGTATAAGATCTTCAAAAACAGATATATTTTTGTTAAATAAAGGCAAATTTAAAGACAGATTTGAAATATACATAACCTACTTTAGCAAAGAAAGAGTAGGAAATAATATGTTGTATACATACAAGAAAACAGAAAATATGAGATGAATATATATTCCATCTCTCTCTCTCTCCCTCCCTCTCTCTCTCTCTCTCCCTCCCTCCCTCCCTTTCTCTTTCTCCCTTTCTCTCCCTTTCTCTCTCTCTCTCTGCTAATCCTTTGGGGTCAAAGAAAACAGGCTATTGTGCATTTTATCTGTGGTTGCTGTATGTAATACAGCAACAAGTAGCCACAGGTGAGAGCTGAGTGCTGGGTGAGGGCTGAAGATAACCAAGCAGCCCTAAAAAAGAATTTTGCAGGCCCCTCAATCAGAATTGCTACTCCCTCCTTGAACACTCCATAAACACACACACAAACACGGTAGAAGAAAGGCTATTTCTTAAAAAAATAGCTCTGACAATGTTTTATAGAATATTCCTTGTTATTAGATATAATTAGGATTACCGTGATTCCTATTCATAGCCCTTTATTTGAAGATCTGTTCGATCCATGTCCATTTTAAGATAAAGAAGTCCAACTGATGAGAAAATGTATCATGGGTATTCAGCAGGTGGGCAGCAAACTAAGGCACTCTGGTTGCTTGGACACCATCTTCCTTATGCAATATATTGAATTTCCATTCTCGGAGACAGAGGAAGAGATAATATTTAAAATTCAGTAATAGGTTTTATTTTTATAAATAACATTTATATAATATTACAGTCATTAGTTTTTTATTAACACCTCTACCTATAAATTAGTATATGCATTACAAAGATATATGTAGGTCATTATTCTTCACTAGCATTTTTTGTGACAATTTCCTCTTTTTGGAGAAGTTTGGCCTAATTGCCCAACCTACTTGTCTGGGATGGCTGATTTATTGATTTGATGGGGGCATAGAGTATGTAATAAACAAGATCTTTATAATTTCTTCTTTTGTCTTTGATGATCTTTCTAATAACTCAGAGTCCCAGAAAAGGAACTGATTCCAGGGATCATCAAGCAAGGAGCAAATTGTTTGGAATCTCAAGGCCAGGATACAGCGGGAAATTCTCTAGCTGCGATTGGAAGCTGTAAAGGGTCAGTGAACAACCCTGTTGCTACTCAGGTAAGGTCATCAAAAGTTCATCCCATTAGTCTTCTTTTCTGCTCTGTAGAATGTCCTGGAGAAAACATATGTATATTTGAAGCACACATCAGCACATCTGTAGTTCGGGCAGAGGGAGTTAGTCATTTGAGGATAATCACTCAACCATGCCTCAGTGTTCAGTGTTCAAGCAAACTGCAAAGAATAGCGCAGCTACAGCCAGCCCAATCAGCACTGCAGAAACCCACATTCAGAACTTCCGGTGGCAAGGCAAGGACGAACAGAGGTGCAGAAGCCCGTCGGTGGTTTCAGTTAATTTCTTTTTGTGGTTGGCACAATCCTTTGAGGGTGCACGAGTCCCGGAGAGATTCGTGGCGGCATGGGGGAGACTTGGGTTGCAGTGTGGGGAAGGCAACCCCCCTGCAGTGAAGAGGAGCCCTCCAGAGCCCAACGAGCAAGAAACAGCCCCCTATCAATGGCGGCTCCGAAGTCCGGACTGCCACCGATGTAAAGAAGCGAGTGAGTGACAGTTTGTGAGATCATTGGGGAAGAGTGTGGCTGAGAAAATTAGCGGCGGAGAGGAGGATTGGAATGCCATAAACTTTTATAAGGCTGTTACAAGTGTCTGTCTGGAGTCCTAAAAGAAAGCAGCCAAAAAGCAGATGCGAGGCAAGTGAAAGTGAAAGGGCTTGGCAGACAGAAGAGAGAGAGAGGACAATAACAAGTAAAAAGGGAAGTTTACGAGGTTGGGAGACTAGCGTCTGGAAGGTGCCTGGAAGTTGTGGAGGATTTGGACTATCTCATTTGATTTTTATTCTGATAGACTTTATTAAAGCGGAGACGGGAAGAAGATCGAAGCTGATGGAACAGAGACAGTGTGGCGCCACAGGCAATACTTAGAAACCCTGAAGTTATCGTAACAATATAACTGATATAAACCACTTAACAGCCCTTTAGGGAGCATACTGATCTAATTGAGGAGGTGGTTCCATCTGAAGAAAATCAGGAAAATTGAACTTAGGAACGCTAAGACAAAACGTAAAAGTGGAAGCTTCCGAATGTGTGGAGATACCGTGTAATTGCAGTCACTACTCAGCATTTTTTACCTCCCCACTTCCGGTGTGTTTGAAGTGAAAGCTCTTAAACTTAGAGACGGAAAGCTAAAAACTTACTTCAAAATTCCTTTCCCCCCCTTTTTTAACTCCCTTTTTTCTGTATACATTTGTTCAATTTTTTTTCTTCTTTTTCCCTCACCATCTGGCACTATGATGAACTATCTCTCCTTCTTTATTCTCTCTTTATAATGATTATAAATATGCATACTGGGGAAAGGAAAATTGATTGTTGTATCTGATTGTTAAATAATTGAATTAATTGATTTAATTGATTTATTAATAATAGTGATAGTTATACTTTGATTAGATATATAGGGAAAATAGTAAGAACATTAAGTATTATTTAATTAATAAGTATAGGGTTTTATGTATTAATATTATAATTTATTGTGTGACCACAATTAATCTACTTGGGGATGAATGTAATACTGTTTGTGTTTAAGAATATTTTTAAAAAGGTTAGATAAATACACATATTTATTTATAATATTTAATATAGTTGGATTTGGATATAACATTTATATATATTTATTACATGAAGTTATGTATGGAAGCTGAGCACAGACCTTGCAAAATTATATATGTGATTTAGAATTTGGATTTAAAATAATACAGTGATAATATTTTTATATATAAGTACTTATACTCCAGTAACCAGTTAAGAGCACAGCTATCCAGCAGATAGATAGATTAAGTAATTAGATACCAGTCAATCCTAATACCAAGATTCTATCACTGAATGTTAATTTGGGATAATATAATTAATATAGTACAACAACAGAAACAAATCTTAAAAGAAATGACTTCCACAAGAAAAGAAAAGAAACCCACATTCAAGACCACCAACAGCCATGGAGGTTTACTTGCTTACTTAGCACCATTACTATCTCTCAGTCCAGTCCACCCCAAAAGAGTTGATATGAGAATAAGGTAGAGGAGGAATTCTATGCATGCTGCTTGAGCTCCTGGAAGAAATAAATAATTCCTCCCAGAAGTGTTATGAAATGGAATCCTTGTGGTAAAATAATATATGAAACGTTATAGAATTGGAAACTTTTTTCAAATCCCTGAATAGACATTGCTTGTCTTCTCATCAACTATCTGCTGATTTGGGAGAGCGAGATGGAGGTCCTTTGAGTCAGACTTGACTCCTGTCAACTTCATGGACAAAACTTCTGAAGTTTTTTTTGGGGGGGTGGGGGGTGGAAACAAGATTTTCAGAATGATTTGCCATTGCCTTCTTCCTAGAAATGAGAGAATGATTGCTCCAAAATCAACTAGCTGGCTTCCATGCAAGGGTTTCTTTATGCCTGGCCCAGTGTTTTAACTTTTAGATGAAACTGGCTGATTTTTATTCAACCCTTAATATTAATTTATTAATTTATTCAATTTCTATAGCCACCCATCTCAACCAACTGACTCTGGACGGCTTACAAAATTAGAATTGCCTGCAGCCATTCACTACAAAGCTTAAGGAAAAAGACAGCCATGCAGTGCGCCTCTCACTGAATTGGGTTCCAGCAAGATAGGAATGCCATCTGCACAGGGCAAGCAAAGATCAATTCTGTGGCATTAAGAAAGCTGTAGGGAAGGATGGAAAAACAAATTAGAGGTGACCCAGATACGTATATGTATTTAGAAGACCTTCAAGATGTATTTAATTACAAGATAACACAATAGATGTGCAAGAAAGAAAGAAAGAAAGAAAGAAAGAAAGAAAGAAAGAAAGAAAG